CTTTCCTAGACAAATATATATTGGAAGACTTGAAGACCACCTATTTCCTGCTTGTCTCAAAGGTCTTGGGTCTAGCAGGTCTTGTAGCAGCAAGAGGTCTGCTCCCCTGAAAGGTCGGAGGGCGGAAAAATTGGCTTATGGACATCCTGGACAAGTCTTTGAGGTGGCGTACACCGCCCTCAAATGCCTACCCCGTGCCAAAAGCGCCCTCCGATGAAAGAGAAAGTCCAGAAAGGACGCGTAACTCTACCTTTTCTTAGTAACTCTACCAAGGAGTTTTCTGTAGACACATCCATGTTCCTCAGAGTGCCTACTTTTGGCCTCCCCTTCTTGACCCCCCAAGTCCTCAACCAGTCTCAATCAGAGCTGGTTCTGGGTCAAAACCTGGACTCCTTGCCTCTACCGTGTTCCACCACCAATCTGGCTCGTCCTCACAGTGCTGAGGTACCGCATGGTCCGCAAGATGCTCTACAACTGTGGACATGAGGTGTTCGGAGCCCAGGTGGCTAGCAGGGACTTGGATGAAGAGGGAATGGCTTGGGTGGGGCGGATGGGGTTTTTATGGCAGGTGCTTGCATCAGTTCAACTCACGCCTCCGAACGCCAAAGCTCGCCACAGCTCTGGATGCGAAGTGGGGTGCAAGGTATTTGACCCGCTCGCTCATGTGTCCTTTCCTCTCCCCCCTCCCTCCCTCCCTCCCTTTCCTTTCTTCCCTGGCCCTTGCCCTTTCGTCGAACAGCTCCGTTGAAAAGACTGAGACTCCCCTTGATGAAGCGCACGGATTGTTTTGGCTGAAACTTCTGGCATCTCTAGCTTTTTGCCAGGCTTTTGCACTTAAAAATAAGGGATAGGCCGGCATTCTATGAAGGGAGTCACACTCCCAGATGCAATCAAGACACGTCGCCATGCACAGATGAAATCATGGATACGTATATATTAAAGTGAGAGGCCAGAACTTGCCTATAAACGAAAGGGTCCGTGCATATAAAACGAATCTCTTCGGTTTGATGTATGAAGATACTCTCAGTCCAAGGCTGGAGTTACATCGGCTCAGCTATGGAGCGCTTGAGTTGGGTGACCTGGAGGCCGCTGCGGCGGTGACTGGCATACCTGCATTTGGTTTCAAGTACCATGAAAGACGGTGCGACCATGCGCCACGACGGTGTCGTCCCCACCATGGCAGTGGACTGCACATGACTGCTAGGCAGTGGACTTAGGAGGTTCTGGATTACAACACCGTTCAAACGCTCCACTACTCATAGCCATAGCCCTTTCCTAGTGTGTGGCCGCCCCCATATCGAAAAGTCTCCCAAGGCTATTTTTCACTGACTTGATATCCTGTGCTAGCTGCTGGATGCACAATGCAGATTTAGCTATTCTTTGTGGCCAACAGCAGGAGCTGAAAAAACGTACAATCCTGAGGCACACGCTTGTTTGATGTACATGACCCACAAGTGTCGAGGTAACACAGCTCCTGTATTCGACCCCAAAACTTCTATATGTGTTGTTGATCAGTACCTTCCATGGTTGGAAGGTTGTTGCATCCAGCCAGCGAGTTTATAGATGTCCCCATCGCCAGGCAGGCCGCATGTGCTGCATCACAGCCGAAGAGGTGCTTCATCACGGTCGGCAGATGAGCATCCGAGATGCTGACGATAAAATTGGGAGACTGATTTGAAAGCTGGGGCCTCTCAGTGTGCACCATATGCACCACCACTGTCCCATCCACAGCCATTCCACCGCCAGGAGGCTTGGGCACAAGACCTTGTGTCAAGCAGACGGCCAGAAATGATCTCTTGTCTGCGTGGGGGGGAAGGGTGGGTCGATATAAAGTCAAACACCCGAAGTAGTGTATCATGTAGGACCTTGGAGGTTGCCGGCACTCAAGAATTCCAAAGGCGCCCTTAGCCTCCAGCACGCAGCTACCTCCAATAATCGATCGTGCGTTTTCAGAAAGTTTTGATGGATACTTGTAGGGGCAGAGAACACCTGAAAGCACTACAGTCGGTTGAGGACGTGGTACCGATTTGTAGGACGAGAGCCAAATTCGCGCCAATTTCAGAAGCGACTTGCCCAAGACTTGACCCAACAATGCAGGTAGAGTGTGAAGCTGCAGTTCGGGCTATAATATCTTTCACTGACTGAATACCTAGTAGGGAATGGGGGAATGCATCCAAAGGAATCTCGGAATCTCTATTGGGTGTGTTTCTTTCTTTTTTTTCCTACTAGGCGTCAGTTGAGTATTCTTTGTATTTCTAAGGCTTAGGTTCTCCGTTTGGAATTAGCATCGCTTCAGAAGTACGTGAACGAGTTCGAGCTCCAACAGACCCCACTTCACCACAAACGGGGAACTTGGCCGACCTCGCGCGTCGTCCGACCGCCGAATGAGCTCAAAAGGGCTCCCCTTTTTTTTAACACCCCAACCTCTTTTTTTTAACCCACCACTTTTTTTTAACCCCCCAACCCTTTTTTGTAACCCCCTTCAAAACAATTGTTTTTAACCCTTCAGACCTTTTCTTTTTAACCCCCCCGACCTTTTTTTTAACCCCCGGACCCTTTTTTTCTCACCCCCGAGCACTTTTTTCTAACCCCCAACCTTTCTTTTTTAACCCCTGACCTTGCTTTTTTAACCCTTGACCCTTGCCTGCGAGTGCCTATGCCCCTCGGACCACTTACACAGCGCCCACCCAGCACGCTGCGCCAGCCCACTTGCCGTGATGACGCGGGGGTGACACGCTGTTGCGCGGCTCGGCTCCATAGCGGCAGCGCGCCTGTAGACACCTACCCCTCCGAAACTGGAAGACTTGCCTTGTCTCACCCAGATTTGTCATCTTGTGCTGGACGACACCTCCGTCCACTAACCTTTTCTGTATGCATGGGGGCGACGCCTGCGCGCGTGTTGAACAGCAACAACAACAACAGCAAGAACAACAAGAAATCCAACTTTTCTTTCTTTCACACGCACTCGGATGAGAAGCGCCGCCCTGCGGCCATAGGCCGGACTCCTGTTGGAGATCGCTTCTGTATTGAGGCATGGGCATGGATGGAGGTAATCAGCCGTTCCAAGCGGCTGCGAGTACCCTCAACATCCAAAAGGTCTAAGGTGGAGGAAAGCTCGGTCAAAATCAACAGTGTTGAGGCCAAGCATCAAAAAGGTCAATCGGTGAAGTGAGTGACATTCACCCTTCATCAAAACTAAGGAGGGCCGAACAAAAAAAGCAAGTCCGCTCTCACTTGGCCGTCTGCCATCTATCAGCATCATCTCATCAGCTGCCCCAGCGGCCGAAGGCTGCCCAGCGCATTGCAGCGGCAGGCGCAACCATCAGCAGCAGGTGGAAAAGCTTAAGAAATCCAACAACAAATCCAACAACAACAACAACAACAACACCAGCAGCAGCAGCAGCAACAACAAATCCAACAACAACAACAACAAGCGAAGCAAGTACCTTTGCTTGACTTTGAAGGGAGGCGCTGCGCCCTCCCCCCGAGCCCCCCTCCAGCTTTCTTTGTTTTCAAACAGTCCGCACGTCTTCGTCAAGCGGAGTGACTTGCCTTGTCTCACCTAGATTTGTCTTCTTGTGCTGGACGACACCTCACAACAAACCCAACAACAACAACAGCAGCAGCAGCAGCAACAACAAATCCAAAAACAACAAGCGAAGCAAGTACCTTTGCTTGACTTCGGGGGGGGCGCTGCGCCCTCCCCCCGAGCCCTCCTCCGGCTTTCTTTGTTTTCAAGCAGTCCCCCTGACGCCTGCACACGTGTTGAACAGCAACAAAAACATCAACAACATCAACAGCAACAACAAATCCAACGACAACAACAACAACACCAGCAGCGCGCTGCGCCCCCCCCCGAGCCCCCCAACAACAACAACAACAACAACAACAACCACAACCACAACCACAACCACAACCACAACCACAACCACAACCACAACGACAACGACAACGACAACGACGACCACAGCAACCACAACGACAACGAGAACGAAAACGACAACCCCCCCTCCAGCTCTCAAAAAATAAGGGCCGGGTGTCCAACAGAGGTTGGAGGTTAAAAAAGAAAGGTCGGGGGATGTCGAGGGTTTAGAAAAGCAAGGTTGGGGGGTTAAAAAAGAGAGGTTGGGGGGTTAAAAAAGAGAGGTTGGGGCTAGAAAAAAGAGGTTGGGGGTTAAAAAACAGGGTCGGGGGGTTGAAAAAAAGGGTGGAGGTTAAAAAAAAGAGGTTGGGGGGTTAAAAAAAAGGGTTCCCCAGCTCAAAACTCAACAGCTTAAAGGAGAGGTCTGTACCTCATTGCTTCGAGTACTATTGGAATGACACAGGGTCTGTACGAAGCTTGGGAGAGGTCTGTATTAGCTTCCTTGCAACAACCATTGCCTTACCTTCCCCATCGCTTGAGATTGGAGGTTGCCAAACCCTTCAGCAAAGTGGAAACACAGGACATGGTGTTCTTGTTTCGTTTTCCGTCACCCGACCCACAACTCGAACCCTGAGGCCCCGAAGTCTCCAAAAAGCCCGGACTCACCGCTTTTAGCACATGACTGGGTCTTCGGATGGGAGGGTTTTTGCTGTCTTCTTGCGTCGTCATTGGAGAACACAGGCGTCGTCTTCTGTCTCAAACCTCCCATCTTTTGGATTCACCTCCAGCACCGCAAATGCGGGTAGATCGTTTCCTGGAAGCTACAAGCAGACTGCATTTTTCCGCGTCCCGCGTGGACTGCAGATGAGTGCAGGTGGGACGGTGGGGGTTTGCTGTGAGGTGGTAAGATCCACACAGTCCCTGGAATCATTCCCTTCCCCTCTCCTTAATGCTTTCACTCCATAGGCTTGAGGTGACAGACGAGGTTCATCACACTCGTGTGCTTGGTTGGCAGCATGCCCAATTTCAATTATCTAAGATCTCCACTTCAGAAGTGTCTCTACCAGTCTCCTTGAGGGGGGCGACAGTGTGACATTCCTTTTGCATTTCACGTTTGTCGCCTTCACCCACCAACGAGGTCATGTCTCCTCACCGCTGTTGATCATTCTGCCGGGCCGCAGTGGTGGGGGGCCGCCAGAAGATCCGGGTCGGGTGAGGTTCTTGGGGAGAAATTCAGTCGTTCTGAGTTCTGAACATGATTAAACAGTAGCAGTAGCACCCTTGAAATGGATAGTGAAGACGTAGCTGGCATGGACATTGGTGACACGGAGGAACGAACCCCACAGTAAGTGGTGGGACAAGGAATTCCGATCCCCAAGAGTCTTTTTTTGGGAGATGTTGTATGTTTTAAACGTTTGTTTCTGAACACATAGGCTCATCGGCACCCATAAGCCCATAAGCCCCTTTGCACTTGCATGGATTGTCTTGCTACCAATGACAGAATGTAGAGACATCTGATAGGCTCCTCCTGGTTCCGACACCGGGCCTGTCGGGCCTGCCGGGTGGTTCTTTGTTCTCCACGGGCCTGTCGGGGCCCGAAAGAGCCTGGGTGCCTATCGCTGGGTGCCACCGGTAGATGGAACTGCTCACGAGCAGATCGACATCAAACACCCAAGGCCCAACGTCCTGAGGATCAGAAATCACCCCATGGACGGCTGACTATGTGGTTGACTTGGGAACATGGGGAACATGAATCTAGAGGTGTCCGCCACACTTTTGTTGAATCAACTTCTGGGGTTGTAAGGGGCAAAGAGGACAGCATGAGAAATACCCAAGTCAATTAGATTTTCTATACAGTTCTTGCAAATGGTTTGGCTTCGTTTGGTGACATGACGCTGATTGATCAGTTGACAGCTGCCTGGGGGGGCCACTCTGAACAATCTCGAGTTGCGGGGTGTTTTTCGACAGACTCCTGCACCACCTGAAATCCTTCAAAAACATGGTACTTGCGCCATCTTGGGTAAATCCGGTTCGGATTATTTCTTTCCACCGTCCAAATCCTCGGCTGTTCGGCTTTGGTCACTCAACTGACTTGCCTGCGCATTCATGGACCCCTCGGTGGCATGACGTGAGGTGAACCAAAAGGGTTCATGGAGCTTTCCTTTCTCTTAGAAGCAAATACCGGTGAAGACGATCCTCAAAGCGAGACTCAGAAAAAGATCCGACCAGAGTTCCTGCCGTGAAAGCTCGAAAGCAACAGAGTTTCTTGAAGTTTAAATGTCAATTCGAAATGTCAATTCCCTTGATGGAGTTCCATTCATTTGATCAGCATCCAGCAGTCTCCAACATTATTTGTCTTCCTTTCCAAAGACTTATCACTTCTACCAGCTGTAAACTCCAACCAAACGAGTCCAGCCCTCCAAACCCCGAGACGATGGTGAGTCTTTTCCGAAAAAGCCATCCAGGCCGCGAGGCGGTGCTACGCCGCATCCTAGCCACGCTCGACCGGCCGGTGGCCGTGCTGGTACCACGGAGGTGTGCTTCGGTGTGGGCGTTTGAGAGGGTGGAGAGCTTGGTGCCTTCCTTTGGCTTTGGAAGGGTTTCTAGCCAGTCAGGGCCGTTCAACAGTTTCTGGCCAGTCAGAGCAGTTTGTTTTTGTTTTCTCCAGTTTTGCATTGCATGGAGGATTACGGCCATGTTCCCGTGGCACTTGTTCTGCACTGACCTGCTCCTTATATAGCCTAGTGCCAACGAAGCCGCGGCGAACGTGACGACCTCGGCCCCTCCACCAGTGACCGCTGGCGCTCCACCGGTGACCGCTTTCCTGCTTTCACCGGTGGACTGGACTGGAGCGCGTGGACAGAAGAGCAAGGACGAACGCCTCCTGTGGTCAGGAAGAGACAAAAGGCTCCTATATAGTATTTGGTGCGGTCTTGGAGTTTTAGGCTCCTTTTTTCGGGTGTGGGCAGTATTTGGGGTGCTGACGAAGAGTCGGGAGAAGTTTTGCTGGAGTTTTAACTAGCGAACACCAGCCCTCACGGAAGCATTCAATCGCCTCACCCGGATTACAAGAATTCAGGCTCCCTGAAGTCTTGGGATTCATACAACTTTAGGACTCCAGGCCCAGGCCCTGAAAAGCATCATCGACCATCCAACGCCCTCAACACCTTCAACCGATCCATCTTTGCCGCGATCGACCCCTTCGACGTCCCAGCGCGTGGCCCCAGGCTTCAGGAGGCCTCGACCTGGGCCAAGCCTTTGTGCTCGGCATGGATCGAGTGTGAGCGCCTGGGGGCCCGGCCTGGGAAGGAGGTGGAGGGGTCGGACTGGGCGCCATTTTGCGGCCACTTCTGTTCTTCACTCGCGCCGTGTTTCGACTTCTCTTTGATTATACAGTCCAAAAATCAAAACAGCCCAAGGGCCTGTGGAGAAACTTTCGTGAGATCTATTGGTGCCTTTCTTCGATTCATGGGACGCCCTCCAAGCCATACCTTGTTAGTGCATTTCTTCTTGGACCCTTCTTACCTAACTCTGCTTGCACATCTTGTACCCAACTAGCCATGGCTTGATGGAAGTCGCACCCACGCACCCACGGTAGCCACGGTCAACACAGACACGATGCGACTGGAAAACGTGTGGAGGTGAACCCAGTGTTCTCCTACACTCAGCAGTGCAACGTTGAAGTCTGTAACACGTGGTCTGTAACACGGTGATTGGAGTATTTCTGTTTTTTGATTTTCTCAGGCACAGGGTGATGGGACTTTGCTAAGGCTGCTAAGGCACACTGGTATTTGTCTAGTTTTCTCTGGTTCTGCTAAAAACTTAAAGCACAGGGTGATGGGTCTTTTCTTCGAAGTGCTTGGAGTCCAGCGACGCCACCCTCTGCACCGACCCATGGCACGGTCTGCACGGTCTGCACGGTCTCGGTCGTCCTCTGGTCGATAGCACGAAGGTCTCCCCCGTTGTTTCGAGTCCGAAGACCCGTGAACTGGAGCAGGTTTAGATCCAGAAGAGGCCTGGACGGCTTGGAGCTTAGGAACTGATGAAGATGCTTTCAACCAATCATTGACAGCCATGATGTGGGTGATCAATGGGTGAAGAGGTTCTTTGCGTCCATTCAGCATTGGTGCCGAACTGTTCGGCTGCTAGAAGACTTGGTGCCAAGACTTGGTCATCTTATGAGGATCAAATATACAGAGATTCTTTCTCACCAGCCTCAGGGATTCTTCTCACCAGCCTTCGTGACCGATATAGATGGAGAAAGTTTGGGGAAGCTCTGCCAAATTCACTGGTCGTTTGGCACAATCAGACGGTTTCTTAAAACCCCAGCAGGGCGTCCCATTTCAGGTGTCCCAGGCCCGGCCCAGCTGGCGCAGCTGTGCAGTTGTTGAGCTGCACGCCTAAACCCACTCCCTGTCCCCCGAGCGAAACAGGATCGATGATTCGACTTTTTGTCGTCCCTACAGATCTAGGAGCCAAATGAATAGTGCGAGCGCTTTTTCAAGGAAGCCCCCCCCCGCCCTCAGGCGGGGGGAGCTTCCTGGGAGAAGCGTGAGCTATCCTGCGTCCATGCTAGTAGCTTAAACTAAGCTACTAGCTACCTCAGTTCCTTACTGAATTATATAAGTAGGTGCCTACTTAATTAAGTAGGGACGGGGAGTGGGCTAAAAAAGTGCATCCGAGTCCAACGCAGAAACTGCATTCTCGCGAGTTTTCGAAGCACTCTTCGAGCCTGTCTCCAAGTCGGTTCACCGTGGTTTTCTCCACCTCCCAGGCCGTGTCCGAATGGATGGCCAGGACTCGCCAGCGGGTGGCAGGCGAACCAAACACAGAAGACACGCACGGTCACCAGCGATCTCGGACGGATCTCTTGTGCCGCGAGTCCGCACTGCCATCTTCCCGAACATCATGCTCCGTTCGTAGCGTCCGATCGCTCCGATTCATAGATGCCAGGAGCCCCGTTCGTAGCGTCCGATCGCTCCGTTTGTAGAAATGCCCTTTGCTCCGTTCGTAGCGTCCTTGTTCCGGAATATCGACTCGAAGGGCAACTCGACCACCTTGGACCACCAAAAAGGAAGCTGCTTGTCCAATCTGATTTGGTGGACCGAGCCAGTCTTTTTGGACTTGCAGGAGCCATTCTGGAGCAGTTTTTTGGGAGCGGATGTCCTGGATTTTTGAATCCGTGTGTCTTTCGATAGAAACTGTTAGAGTTTGCTGGTCGAAGGCAGACTCCATGTTTTTTCTTTTTTTTGCGAAGCACGGGTTCAGACGAAACAGTCAAACCATATTTGATCATATTTGTATAGTGAACATCCACTGGCAACAGGGTCTGGACCAACATGCATTTTCTGGTCCAGCCTGTGTTTCGGACAGCTTTGAAGCAAGACATTTCTTCGTGCGAGACGCAGGTTGTACCACTTGGGACGAGTGGGGGATTGACGCTGAGATGCATCTAGACGCATCCGGCTTGTACGATATCCATCTTGTTCCCAAGATGACTCACGCAAATAGCGACGGCCTCCAACTTAGAAGGCTTTGGATTGTAGGATGGGAGTCGTGTTCAGTATTCAACTTGCGCTCAGAGGACTTGAGTTCAACATTCCTCTGTGGATCAGGCGGATGTTTTTATAAAGCCACTCGCAAATTCCCAACTTGGAGATTGGCACAGTTGAATCCCGAGCGATGGACTGTCTGAAGTCTTTAATTGGGGCTATAATATGTTAATTTAGAATAGGAGGTATAATGATATATATATATATATTTGTTTTCTTCAGAAGCATAGGGTGAAGTTTGATACGTGGCCGCGG